AGCCTCAGAATCCTTGCCTCCAAGGAGCAGCCTGGTTTAACCCTCTCCAGGATAAATCTGTTTGTTTTCTTAGCAGTCCATGGTACCCTCAATACTCTTCTCCATATGTCAATCCAAAAGAAACTTAATAAAGATATGTTGTTGATTGCCTTCGAGTCAAGCATGACTGATATAGAAGATCTAAATTATACATTCAGCCAACTCGACCCTGTGCATGTATTTCAAGGACTCAATGACACCCAAATAAAATATAATTCACTTTCTTCTCAAGTGTACATACCACATTTCCCAGAACTAGCCTCAAAAAATTAAAAAGCACTGAAATTAGACAATGTATCTTCTCAGACCACAATGAAGAGAAAAAAAAAAAAACAACAACAAACAAACACACACAAAAAACTAGACATTAACCACAAGAGGAATAATCCACAGACTGTCAAAAGAACAGCTATGTTTGAAAAAGTACAGTCAGAGTGCTCCTTAGAGGCAAAGAAGGTGAAACTTCATCTCTCCTACTTTGGTTATGTTGCAGCTCCTTACCACTGGGCCACCAGTGTTGCCTGTTGTTGCTAGGTGCCATCAAATGAAGAGACCTGAACTCTGTCCTATCCTGTGTCACTGTCTCTGACGCACGTAAGCCCATTGCTGCAGTTAGTGAGTCAATCCATCTCATTGGGGGTCTTCCTCTTTTACAATTACTCTCCCCCTTTCCAAGAAACAGCCTCCCCTAGCAACATGCTCAAAGTAGGAGAGATCAAATGCCAGAGTGCTGAGGGACCACAGTGGACTCTGACATCTACCCACTCCATTAGCAGCCAAGTGAATTAACAGTACTTTTTCTGCACCACCCAGGGACTCCTGGGAAGACATTTTTTCTAGAGGACAATTTAAAACACAGTCTTAAGAATTTTAATATAGAAATCTAAATATATTTTAACAAATTCTCCAAAGATTTAAGCACAAAGGGCTGCAACATATTTTTGTTTGTAATAATCAAAAGGTCCCTTAGCAGAGGAGTAAATAAATTATAAAAACTTTCAAGCAATACAACACTAGGCAATCATATAAATAAGAGAGGTTGTAGAAATAGATGCTTAGCAAGATGAAAATGTACTTTGGCATAAAAAAATTTTAAAGTGGGCTATAAGAAAATATCTAGCACAATTCCACATCTGTATGAAACAAAATATTCAAGAGGCAAGCTATTTTGGAAGTGGATGCCACTCCTGCTTCCAAGCTTGTTTTAATCGGGGAGCTCTACCAAACACTGTCCACAGTGGGTAACCATTCTCCCATTTGACACATCAGTGTCCCAGTGTTCAGGTTCACAGCAATGAGTTACCTCTGTACAGCAAATTGACAGACCAGGGTTATGCGACCTATAAGAATGTTTCACCAAAAACAAAGACAGGCCTGAAGGCCGTGGATTAGAGTCACCCACCTATGGCTTGGTAGCGTCACTTCCTCTCCACTATGGCAACTGATCTCTCTCTATGCTGTTGATGTTAAGTGCCATCGAGGAGGAGAGAAAAAAGAAAGAAAAAAAAAAAGCCCAGAGGACTTTATATCCAGAAATGCTAAGTGTTATCTTTACTTTGCAATGTTTCTGAAATGAACATTTATTGTTTGTAAAACAAAATCGTCTATTATAAAAATCTGAAAACTTTTTTTTAAAAAATAGGACAATACTACAATCTGTGAAGAGTGCTAAGTATTAATTTGAAATTCTGTGTATGTTTTAAAAAATCATAAACCATTCTTCACCTTCTAGCTTGGTTGATACATGTCTGATATTAGATCAGACATTGTTATTTCTAAATATATTTTTACTAGTCTGGTTTAAAGGAAAACTAAAAAAGGAAACAAGCAAAAATAAAAAGTAACAGTACAACAAAAGCTTTTGGTGAGATCTTAAGTTTACTTGAATGGTAAAGAATATTGTTTTGAATTTAAATTAGTATACTTGCTAACATTAAATTAAAAAAGGAATATAAATTAAATATATCATCTTATACAAATGCAAACTTAATTTCTTTAAAAAAAAACAACTCCTTTTAAACTAATTATTCCTATTTGGTATGTTAAAACAAGTATCTTTGAAACAAAACGCAAACTTCATTCCCATTTTGTATAATATGCTTATACATCAGGTAATAGTTGGCATAGTATATAAAACTTATACTAAAACAGGCTATGTCAACCAGTTGTAAAATACTAGCTATTGTTATTCTATTGTCTTTGAGTATACGAGACACAAAATTTTTATTTTGTACTAAACTATATAATTAATGAACTCTCAGTATCCAATGTTAAAAAATGGAAATTACTGTATCAGACATGCTATCTTTTGCAAGTGTAATATTTATTTTCCACAACCAAAAGTTTTGTTCCAGTCTTCATAAAGTTCTAAATCTTTTGTAGATACACTGGGTCGTACAATTCTAAGAGCATTTTCAAAATCAATATAAGATATGGGTCGAACTTGATCAGGTGTTATTGTGGCAATATCAACAGTCTGTAAACTGCGAATAGGACCCAGAGAAGCCTCTCTGCAAAGTTGTGTCATGTCTGCCCCAGAAAATCCATTAGACTGCTGTACAACCAGTTCAATCTCGTCTTCCTTCAGGCAACAGTGCTCCTTGGACATCAGATTGACTATTATCTGTTTTCTGGCTGAAGCTTCTGGAAGAGGAATATACAGTCTCTTTACCAGTCTTCTTCGGGCAGCTTCATCAATTTCCTGTGGCCTATTGGTTGCACCCACCACAAGAATCCGATCTTCAGAGGATGTAGTTGCTCCGTCTAACTGAACCAAAAATTCGGTTTTTATTCTTCGAGAAGATTCATGTTCCCCATCTCCTCGTTGTGACAACAGAGAATCAATTTCATCAATAAATATCACAGCAGGTTGCTTACTCCTTGCAACAGAAAACAACGCACGCACCATTTTCTCCCCCTCACCTACCCATTTAGAAGTTAAAGAGGAGGCAGAAATGCTAAAGAATGTTGCCCCAGACTGGCTGGCAATACACTTGCCAATTAGTGTTTTACCAGTCCCAGGAGGACCAAAGAGCAGAATGCCTTTTGGGGGTCCCCGTAAGCCAGTAAAGATATCTGGCCTCAGCATGGGCCACACAACTATCTCCTTTATTGTGGTCTTGGCAAATTCTACTCCTGCTATATCATCCCAATTTACTGGAGGTCCATGATCCATAATTTCATTCATAATAAGTTCAACCATCTTTGGCTCCAAGTTTTTCAAACACTCATCAATTGGATGTGCCAGTTCTGTAGGCCCTATCCCGGGTTTACATTGCATTCCCCCATTTTGATCTCCCCCATCTTGCTTAGGAATAGGAGGTATAAATTTCCCAAATATTCCTCGGTATCTTCCAGCTCCAAGAGATTTTTTTACACCACCATATGAAGACCCTGATGTTCGCTGGGGATGGTGGTGTTTTTTTTGCTGATCTACCCACAGTTGTTTTTTGGCGGTTTTGAAAGTAGGCATGCTGCTCTCTACCTTTTGGCAATTATCTTCTATTTTACTAAAAGCCTTATTTGCTATTGGATTAGGAAGTGCATCAATGCAACTGTTACCCACACCATAAAAAGTCTTCCTTTCCCATGAACTTTCACAGCCAGAGGGAAAAGAAGACTGGTATGATGAGAACACATTTAATCCAACATTGGCTTTTGGAAAGCCATGATATTCCTTTATGACATTTCCAAATAATGGTGTGGTATGGAATTTTGCAGTAGTGGATTCACCTAATGGCACTAAGAAGGTAGGATGAGCTTTACTACTGTCGGTCACTGTTGGGGTCTGGACATTCTGAGGACATTTTGAAGAAGGTATGTTCTCCACAGTGCCCTGGAACCCATCTGTAGCATGACTTGAATGAGTAAGACATTTATTCTCTTCAGAAGAAGTCGGATTAAATTTTGGAAAATCAAAGGCATGGGCCTCCTTATGGATTACTACTGATGCATCAACAGGGGCCAACAAAGAGTCTTTGACTTTTTTGCCAGCTTCCATCATCTCCTGTACATTACTCATTTCTAAAACATTACTTATTGCCAATCCAGACTTCCATTTGTCACTATCAGTTTGCTGAGATGTTGCCAAAGTTAAAATGTTCTCTGCATAGTTATTCAGGCCACTTTCAACATTGTCAGAATCAAGGAATGAAGAATACTTCTCTGCATATTTTTTGAACAGTTTGGTAGCACAGACTTGGGAGATCTCAGCGTTTGCCCAGGCATATTGAATATGTAGTATATGTGCACGGTATGCATCTGCCTTCTGTCCTGAAGAACATATACCAGACGAAATGGCAAAGTAATTCCTCTGCCATTCACTCAAGTGCACAGACTTACAGCTGGAGGTCTGCATTTTAAAGGTTCTACAAATGATATAAAAAGAAGGGAAAGAATCAGTATCATAAAAGTTAATAAAATATACAAGCAGTCCCTGGATTTTGAATGTCTGATTTGTATATATACAACTCACAGTTATAAAATAACCTCTGTAAAACCAATTATATTAAAATCACGAGGTTCATAACAACCATCAAAACATCATTTTTATGGTAAAGTGTTTAATATTTCTGAAAGTGTTTAATATTTTTTAACACACAGACAGGTGTGTTACTAATGTAAACATTTAACTAGCATCAGATACAAACTATTTGTCTGAATTACAAAGAAATTCACCTTAAGAGCACATTTTGAAATAGAATTTACCCATAATCTGGGGATTGCTTGTACAATAATTAAAACATACTTTTAAAAAATGCTTGGGTAGAAGGAAAATAAGAAGGTGAAGTGAATGAATGGTTGTTGTTGTTGTTAGGTATCAGTGAGTCAGAATCAACTCATAGCTAAATTTCCAGCAGGTTTTAAGAGACTGTAAATCATACCTGACAAAGATCACCCATCTTTCTTTCTCCCAGAGAGCAGCTGGTAGATTTGAATTGTGTGTCTTTGAGGTGGCAGCATTCACTCTACCAGCCATTAATACACTGAACAATTACAAAAAAATACATGTTAACATCTCAGAACCAGGGCGCCAGTGGCCCACGTGGTGTGGCGGAGGGGGGCAGAGCCGGGGAAGGGGACACAAGCTCATTGCCCTGTGCGTCCTGCACTCTGTCCCTCACTCCTCGCTGACGGTCTTGCTTTCCACGTGCACTCCGCTCGCCGGCTGCCCCGCAGAAATGCTCCGATTACCTGTAGTCCTTCGGCAGATGGCCTGTGTCTAGGGCCCTGGCTCCTCATTTAACTCAGGCTTATGCCAAAGATGTCAAATTTGGTGCTGATGCCCGAGCCTTAATGCTTCAAGGTGCAGACCTTTTAGCCGATGCTGTAGCTGTTACTATGGGGCCTAAGGGAAGAACAGTCATTATTGAACAGAGTTGGGGAAGTCCAAAAGTTACAAAAGATGGTGTAACTGTTGCAAAATCAATTGACTTGAAGGATAAATACAAAAATATTGGGGCCAAACTTGTTCAGGATGTTGCTAATAACACGAATAAAGAGGCTGGAGATGGTACTACCACAGCTACTATACTGGCACGCTGTATTGCCAAGGAAGGCTTTGAGAAGATTAGCAAAGGTGCTAATCCAGTGGAAATCCGGAGAGGTGTGATGTTGGCTGTTGATGTTGTATTGCTGAGCTTAAGAAGCAGTCTAAACCTGTGACAACTCCTGAAGAAATTGCTCAAGTTACTACAATTTCTGCAAATGGAGATAAAGAAATTGGCACCATCATTTCAGATGCAATGAAAAAAGTTGGCAGAAAGGGTGTCATCACAGTAAAGGATGGAAAAACACTGGATGATGAATTAGAAATTATTGAAGGCATGATGTTTGACCAAGGCTATATTTCCCCATATTTTATTAATAAATCAAAAGGTCAGAAATGTGAATTCCAGGATGCATATGTTTTACTGAGTGAAAAGAAAATTTCTAGTGTTCAAGTGTTCAGTCCATTGTACCTGCTCTTGAAATTGCCAATGCTCACCATAAGCTTTTGGTCATAACTGCTGAAGATGTTGATGGAGAAGCTCTAAGTACTCTTGTATTGAATAGGCTAAAAGTTGGGCTTCAGGTTGTAGCCGTCAAAGCTCCAGGGTTTGGTGACAATAGAAAGAACCGGCTTAAAGACATGGCAATTGCTACTGGTGGAGCAGTGTTTGGAGAAGAGGGATTGACCCTGAATCTTGAAGATGTTCAGCAGCATAACTTGGGAAAAGTTGGAAAGGTCATTGTGACCAAAGATGATGCCATGCTCTTGAAAGGCAAAAGTGACAAGGCTCAAATTGAAAAATGTATTCAAGAAATCATCGAGCAATTAGACATTACAACTAGTGAATATGAAAAGGAAAAACAGAACGAACGTCTGGCAAAACTTTCAGATGGAGTAGCAGTGCTGAAAGTTGGTGGGACAAGTGACGTGGAGGTAAATTAAAAGAAAGAGTTGCAGATGCCCTTAACGCAACATGAGCTGCCACTGAGGAAGGCATTGCTCTTGGAGGAGGCTGTGCTCTGCTTCAGTGCATTCCAGCTTTGGACTCACTCATTCCAGCTAATAAAGATAAAAAAATTGGTATTGAAATTATTAAAAGAACACTCAAAATTCCTGCAATGACCATTGCTAAGAATGCTGGTGTTGAAGGATCGTTAGTAGTTGAGAAAATTTTGCAGAGTTCCTCAGAAATCGGTTATGATGCTATGCTTAGAGATTTTGTGAATATGGTAGAAAAAGGAATTACTGATCCAACTAAGGTTGTAAGAACCGCTTTGTTAGATGCTGCTGGAGTCGTGTCTCTGTTAGCCACAGTAGAAGTTGTAGTCGCAGAAATTCCTAAAGAAGAGAAGGACCCGGGCATGGGTGGAATGGGTGGTATGGAAGGAGGCATGTTCTAATTCCCAGACAGTGCTTTACCACTTATTAATGGACTGTGACAGGAAGTGCAAGGCATTGTTCCTCACCAATAACTTCAGAGAAGTCAGTGGAACGAAATGGCGGGAGAAAAGGCTGGCTGATGTCTAAGAAAATCACTATAACCATCAATTACTGGTTTTAGTTGACAATATGTAATGGGGTTTACTGCTGTCATTGTCCATGCCTACAGATAATTTATTTTGTATTTTTGAATAAAAAAAAGATATCTGTACATTCCTGATGCTGGGTGCAAGAGCCATTACCAATATGCTGCTTTCAACTCAAATCACTGAGGCATTTTTACTACTATTCTGTAAAACCGAGGATTTTAGTGCTTGCCATCACTAGATGAGACGTTAAGCAGCCTTTCTGTGGAGAGTAAGAATGACTGTGTACAAAGTAGAGAAATACCCAATTATGTGACAAACTTTGTGTAATAAAAAAGTGTTTAAAGTGGAAAAAAAAAATCTCAGAACCCCAGATAGCCAGTGAGGTATGAGAGAATAGAAATGAGCCCAGAAGTGGAGAGAAAACAAGGATAACACTGAACCTAGGAGAATCTATCTCCTAATATTCAAAGTTCTTGTTCAACGTTGCCCTTGGGAACACAGAAAAAGCTAATTTGACAGGGTGGGAAAAAGTTACATCGATTGTGTGATAGAGGGAAACCAGTCCACCATGGCACACAACAGGCATGTCCAAGCAGGGGCACCCAGGAAGGAAAGATAGATACCACAGAAGGTCCAGCTGCACCATATTACATCAGCACCATTTCCCCTTCCACATACACACATATTGAAATCCAGACATCAAGCATTTGAATGCTTGAATCAGCACTAAAAATAACCAACCAAATAAGAGAGCATCCTCTAATGATTCTTAGAAAAATACAGATACCAAGCTGGTTGCCAAAGTTTGAATCTGACTCACAAGGCCCTTGTGAGGCCTGGTGGAGCTGCCTCACAGTTGAGTTTCCAGGGCTGAGCCTTTGTGAAGGGGCTGGTGCATATGAATCACAGCATGGCTGGTAGGTGAAACCCAAGACTTGCAGGTGGCATCAAAAAGATAACTTAGTCGTGAAGCTATGAGTACAAAATTTAAATTTTGGAGAAAGGGGGGGAAAAAGGGCAACATCATCACAAAACACAAACCCCCACCCCCAACCCTCTAAAGATAACAAAATGTCCTAATCCCTGCAAAACTTAATAAAATATGCAAGCAAACCTACAACCAGGAGAGCATAAAATAGATGAATGGGACCTTCTAAGAATACAATCCCTATGAACGTCCAAAAATTTCTCCAACATGGTAAAAAGGAAAGCCAAAAACTGTGGGAAAAATATTTGGTAATAACATGTCTGATAAGAACTTACAGAATACTCAAGCACCACAACAAGATAAAGGTAAACAACGCAATCACAAAATGGGCATAGGAAATGAACAGACACTTCACCAAAAAAGACATTCAGATGGAGAACAAACACATGAAGAAATGTTTAAAATCTCTAGCTCTAAGAGAGATGCAAATCAAAACAACTATGAGATACCATCTTACCCCAGTAACAATAGCAAAGTTCAACAGAACAGCAAACAACAAATGGTGGTGAGGCTGTGGAGAAAGTGGAACCCTTTTCACTGTTGGTGGGAGTGTAAAATGGTGCAACCACAGTATGGGGCTTTCTCAAAAAGTTGGAAATAGAAACACCATTTGACCCAGCAATTCAACTACTGGGAATATATGCTAAAGAATCCAGAACTGCCACCCAAACAGATATATACACACCTATGTTTATTTCTGCGTTGTTCACAATAGCAAAGAGATGGAAACAACCCAAGTGCCCATCAACAAACAAATGGATAGAGAAGCTGTGGTGTATATATACATACATATTCAGACAATGGAATATTACACAGCGCTGAAATACAAAATGGATGACCCTGGAGGACATTGCTAAGTTAAATATTTCAGTCACAAATGGACAAATACTGCATAATGCCACTGTTATAAAAGAGAATTGAAATGGGGGCTGGGGAAAACTAAGAAAAAAGGGGATAAATAATGTACACTGCATTAAAATAGATGAGGAATAGAACTGCTTAAAAGAAATATATGATTAGGTAATATTTTCATGACAACAGTCCAGAATAAAGCTCCATAGTAAAGTGGACGGGGGCGGGTAGGGGGCTGTATAACAATGAAAGAAGTTTTTTTCAAACAGAAAAACAAACTGAGGAGTGGGTGGGCATGGAGGAAAATGTGCAATAATGAATGAAGTAAAAATAAATCCCACAAATATGCAAGCAATTGATGATTTTCAGATTATGCCACGTGTTTAAAGAGAGCAAGTGGAAAACTAGTGAGGATCAAGAAACAAATGAAAAATGCTTTGTGAAAACTGAAAACACAAAGAAAAAACAATACTCAGACTGAAGAATAAAACTTTAAG